CTGCCAGCACCAACAGCCGGTCCGTATTAATCTCGGCCCGGTAGGTCGCGCGTTTGTCGGCACAACAACGCCCCGCGCCCGACCAACACGCAGAGGCGGCTGCTGTGACCTCGGGCGGGCCGTGTCTGGCGGCGACGCGCCATTGGGCCACGGCGTCGCGTCACTGGGTCTCAGCGCCGCCAGACCCGTTATGTCAGTTCAGGCGGTAGCGCCGCCAGACGCAGTGCTCCCACCACACACAGTGATCCCATGCGCAAAGATTGCCGTCCTGAGCCGGGGTTGAAATGCGTGGCGTCGTTTTTGGGCAGAAGTCGAAACCCTAGCGATGTCAGCACGGTCAGCCCCAGGCCCCAGGCCCTGGTCCCAGCCCCAGGTCCCAGGCCCTGGCCCCAGCCTCACGCTCCAGGCCCTTGTCCCAGCCCACACCCAGCCCCAGGTCCCAGGCCCTGGTCCCAGCCCCAGGTCCCAGACCCTGGTCCCAGCCCCAGGTCCCAGACCCTGGTCCCAGCCCCAGGTCCTGGTCCCAGCCCACGTCCCAGGCCCTGGTCCCAGCCCCAGGCCTCAGGTCCTGGTCCCAGCCCCAGGTCCCAGACCCTGGTCCCAGCCCCAGGCCCTGGTCCCAGCCCACGTCCCAGACCCTGGTCACGTACGGGGGACGATCTCCGACGCCAATGTCAATTAAGGTTAATCGTCGCGGCCCAGACGCCTTCGAGAAAGTTTGTACCGGCGGACTGTTGAGTCTCCAGGCGTTGCTGACGTGATTAATTATGCATTCCCTTCAACTGGAGTCTGAGGGCGCCAGGCCACCCAATGTGGAGCCCGCCGCAGTCGTCACGCCTCATGCAGGCCGGCCCGAGCGCGCACGTGTCGCCGCCGGGCCGGGAACGGACACGGGCGAGCCCGGCTGGGCCGGCGGAGGCAACTGTCAGGGGATGCGCGTCCGGACGCCCGCGGCGACCGGAAGTTGCCACGTCCGGCACGCCTCTGTCACACCGGCACCACGGGCGGCGGCGCCGCCGCCGGCAACAGGGTGTCGCGGAAGGGCAGAGGGCTGCCAACGACCCGACGCGACCCGCGACCTTTGCGTGCGCGTCTGCCGCACCGACCGGTGTGGAGGCTCGCGGTCGGTGACATTTTACACGGGCGCGACCTTGTGGAAACGGGACCATTGTTTGATTTATGAAAGCGGTCGTGACGGCCGCCGGCCGCCGCGCCGTGGCGTCGAGCCCGGGCCTCAGCGAGCAGGGACACCAGCGCAAACAAGGCCGCCGCGCCGGAGCCGGCCGTGCTGATGCGCGCTGAGCCCGTCGGGCGGCGGTCCGGCTGCGTGCGGGCTCTTGATGGTGATCAACGGGCGCGTTCCCGGTGACAAACTGCAGCGACAGTCTACTGGGCCCGCGCCGAAAACACGAGCTCCGCTGCACACCGCACGCAGCCCAGCCACGTCGTTCATCAGCCATGCTTTGTGGCTCGCCGCGCCAGACCAAGCCTCCTCGTTAGCTGAGCAAACAGCACGAAGGCCCGGTCAAACGCGCCACGTCCGCCCCGCGCCACTCAGGTCGATGTGGCCGCCGGTTCGCCCCGGCCGCGAGCGGAGCCCTCTTTGCGCGCAGCCGTCGCCTGCTGACGTCAGCCGTCACCGGAGCCGCCCACAAGGCGCCGGGCGTTGGGCCGCCGCTACCGCCGCCGCCGCGCAGCAGGGCCGGGCCAGCTCGGCGCTGTCTGGAGCGTTCTCCAGAGTGGTCATCGCCGGCGCCGATGACTTGTATGCCGGAGTCGCGCCAGCAGCGCGTACTCGTCAGTGGCGCGACCGGACTGACGTCGCCGCGCTGCTTGACTCAGCGGAGCCGCGGGCGGGCGGCGGCGGCGGCGGCGGCACGTCACCGGCCGCCGCCGCCGCGCCGCCGCTGTCTCAGCTCCGGGCCGCTGCCCAAACACTGACTGCAACCGATTCCGAAGTAATTTCGCCACAGCGCGCCGCAGAATGGCACAGCCGTTTGCAGCTGCCCGGTAGAAGCGGTGGCTAACGTCCTCCCCGGCCCATCCGCTGCTCCGCTTGGTTGATCCACTACCCCCCCCCCCCCCCCCCCCCCCTACCCACCCGCTATTCAGCCGTCATCAGAGGCCCGCAGCGCCCTGCGTGGTGCTAACCGCGGCCGTAAAGAGCAGGCCGGCTGCGACTGACAGCGCGCAGAGCTGCGGTCTGCCGGCCCAGTCATCTGGGAGCCGGCGCAGCCAGCACCGGTGCGGTGTTTCGCCGATTGAGCCGCCGCCGCCGCCGCCGCCGGGCGGAAGACTCCCAGTCGGAGGTGCTTTGCATTTGTCGCCAGCCGGCCTAGCGTGTGCGCTTCCCGGCGGGGCGGCGGCGTAAGGTCACGGCCGTCTCCCCGAGCATTCAAATGCGGTTATGTGAGACGCTCTCCACTGGCACCAACTGTTCTCAGTAGGTGACGCAGTGTTCTTGTCTCGACATCAAACGGCCGCGACTGTTTTGCACGTGTCGATGTCTGTCAGGCGGGACAGCGGTGAGGATTTAGGGGCGCCCTCTCCTGGCAGGCGGTGCTCTAGGTCGG